TTTCACCGTAAAGGATTTAGAAAGACTTTACATTTCAGACAGAAAATTGGACTGCCTAGTGACGGATACGGGTGCATTGCTCCGAGCGAAAACCTGTGCGTTGCAAATAATACAGCATTATTTGCCGTGATTGGCAGCTTCGGCACTGGTTCCTGCCAACGTCACCCTTCCCTGTCAGACTGTGATACACCTTTACCTCATCGTAGCAGTTGATCATTCCTACGACGCACATTCGAACGCCATTTGGACAGTGGACAACGCGCATTCGGACATAAATCTGTCCAAAAAGGGACGAGAAAGTTGGAGAGTATAGCTAGTGTGCTGAAAGCTTCTCGCAACTTAGGAGAAAAGGATAGCGATCCATAGGGGGCTGTCTGAGGGTCGACATTAATAATAACTAGTTACTTGCAAATTTTCAGTAGGTCGAATTTCCGCTTATTCAAACACGTCCTTCATAATGCTAACGAATAGGAGTTAACCCAATAGTTTAATTGGTCTATAGGCATCCTTTGCTGAAGAATAGGCGTTTATTTTGGTCGATACTATTCTGTCCTCACGCATTTCAATAAAACAATTACAACCGGCCTTAATTTATTTTCTACTGTCAACTCTCCGCACATTAAACGCGCATTACCTACGCCTTTATAAAGCATTAAACTATTAAATATGATTTCCGTAAGGAACTTGGTCAGGAGGCTTTATATTCTAAGTCCTGATAATGGCGTTGATATGTGTATTTCGAATGGGAGATTATTCCATAGTGAAGTATACCTCAAAGCAAGGATAATGTCTAGAAGCCGGACAGGGGACGGTGAAATGATTCGCTAGAAATTATGAGCGTTGTTAAGATGATCCTGGAAGCCACGAATTTAATAAAAGCAAGATAAGGACTTCAAATAAAAGCTGGGCTAAGGCCTTCGCATCCACTAAGAATTAAGACTAAGTACCCGGTGGCTTCTAGTGTAAAATATGATCCTCTCAGCCTGGGAGAATTAAATTCGGATTAAAAACTTGTGATCATTCTAAGTGTTGTTTCTGTTGGGGTATTTATCAGAGGAATTAAAGAGCAAATCAATTCAAGTATGGGACGTGTGCACCTGCAGTAAGAAGCTATCTTTCTTTCCTAACGGAAATAATAGTTTTGTACAGCAAAGTATATAATCAGCCTCGGAATGAGAAGAAAAATTAGCTTCTTTCTATCACTGATATCTAGATTATTGGCGGTGACTCACTTTAAGCATGAAATATTTTGAAGGATCGCTGTGCTGGGAAACCTAACAAGATCAAATAACCTGATTGTATATCCATAAGAGTGAATGAACCCCCATCCTACATGTCACCCCATATTCCGAATCGGAAAGCGCTCTGTGAATGCCTAAAATGATAACATCTCTTGTACATTTAGAGAATAAGGAAATGTACCGCTTACTTTCAGAAATGCACCGCGACGTCACACTCACTTCAGCAGTCAGCAGTCTTGTCACGTGTCTCCAACTAGCTTAATTGTTCTTAGGCAGATATGCGCATTCGACGTGAGCTGGATGAGCAGATCGTTGATTTTTAGCTATTAAATTATGTTTACTATCTTTTCCTGCCCTCTTGCGCCAGGCTAAAAAGTGGCATCGCGTCCCTAATACATTAACCACTAACGCGCGATAATAGGATGTCTACCCATACCCAAACTTTCACTCAGCAGAATAAACGGAGTCTTGGAGCACGACATTCTTGATTGGACAGAGCGTTGAAGTGTAAGAGTCAAATAAGACTACTTGCTTGAGTAGTAAAAGGTAAGGAGATCGAATTGGACTAAGGTATACTTATAAATTCCGACTTCATGGTACCGGCGTCTACGTAGTACATTGTCAAATATTTTACTGGTATTGAAGTAAATAAATACTGAAGCGTCGTCGGGTAATTAATAAAAGACAATAGCGAATACCATATTATATTTAAGGACAAACATTCTACTAAATTGAGTTTAGTAGCTGATTCATCATAAGGACAGCAAAAATGTATTTTCATGATGAGAAGATGACCCGATCGTCAGGACAATAATTTTATTCGTCTGGTGTTTCGAAAATCCGTCGCGGATTCGTCATAATAGACCGGTATCTTCAAGTTGTTGGAAGAGGGCGTTCTAGATGCCCCTCAATATTTGTGGAATTTGGACCGAAACCCTCATTTGTAGACCAGACAATAAAGATCTTTGATGTTTCAGGCATGCATATATTCCAGAGGTTGAAGTTGATGATCAAACAAGTTTTCACTTTTAATATCGCGCGAATGTTGCATATTTGGGGCTGATTCCCAGATAAGTATGATACTTAACTGAATGGATTAAGAACAGGTGAAAGCGCAAGATAACATTAGTCTTCCCTTTTATACATACGTCGGTTCCGTTGTAATGCCTTACCAAGCTAGATTTGGGCTATCCCAGTCCCTTTATGTCAGTCCAACAAGGAGAACAACGAACAAGGTCATAAAAAAGGAAATCTTTTATTGTGTCCCGTGAACGGGACCATATGATAAGGAAGGTTATAGATGGGACCAATCAGATTGTGTTTTCATGCGCCTAGCGGCTCGATTGGCCATCTGGC